TAGCTTTTATTTAGCTCTTTGTGAAAGATGGCAGCTGTCCTGACTGCTAAACATAGCATCACAGGGTGAAAATAAAATTGGAAATCAGTGAGAAAAAAATGTGTAAAGTTTTGCCTTCCTTTCACTACTTGTCTCCGGAATATTTTAGACTGTTTACTGTGGTTCCAGTTACACGGACAATGAGCCAAGCTTATCTGTGTAGTAAAGATACTTGGGGACATGCACATACACACACAGTTTGGTTTTGTTTGCGCAAAGGGAAAAGTAAGGGTGTGTTTTCTCCAGTCACGATAGTCTGTCTATGTCTCTCTCTCCATCCTGCCTGTCTCGTCCTCATGCCTTCAGCTGTCACATCATTGTCTCTGTCAGTCTGTGTGTTGCATGTGGCTGTGTTTGTGCATACATTGTTTTTGTGTCTGTAATAGGCACACAAACATATATTATGCAATATATTTTTACTATATACTGTGTATTTTGTGTATTTGTTGACAGAAGGGAAAACAGACACACCAGTGCACAGTAGTGTGTTGACATAGCAACATACGTTTTTTATAATAAACAGATGTGACAACAATGAGTAGAATATTTTACTGAAAACTGAAGCATGAATTGTATTTCAATATTTATTACATTGAAGCACATGGGACTTCCTGGGCCAGTGTTATTTCTTTAAGAGAGTCATATTTCAATTTCACCTTTTCTTTAGAATATGTAATACTATTAAATTATTAAAACCGTAAGTCTGCATGTTGGCATGTATTTGTGCATTTATGTGTGTGAGTTTGTGAATACTATTGTAAGCACAGACAGACAAACAGAGCGGTCGATTGTTCTCAGTGTTTAGTTTATTTATTGGTCACAAGGAAAACGCTGCATGCTCAATGTTGTGTTTGTATGTGTTCCACAAAAGTTAGAAGAAGAAGAAGAAGAAGAAGAAGAAGAAGAAGAAGAAGAATCAGGGCTACAGCCTTTCAGTGTTTTTTTCTCATTTCTCAGAATTCTTTACTTCACTGATAAAAGGTTAAACGTCCCCATAATGTGAAAGTGAAAATAGAAATGCAAAAGACCAAAAACGGACACATTCTCAGCAGATAAATAATAATTGAATCAAGTAATTAAGTGATTCAAAGACTCAGTCAGTGTTAGGACTGTCAAGCTTTATCTTCACACATCTCAACATGACATCAGCTGAGATAAACTAAAAACTGCTATATTCAATCTTTTGTCTAATGCTGCTTGTAGGCAGGAGCCAGGTCTTTCCTACAACTGTCTCTCTTTTGTGCTGGACACGTATCTCAGTGTATTTAGGGCTTCTCACTTATGTTTACATACTGACATTGCTATTTTAAATAATGTAATTCTCAAATTGCTAAAGGGTTGTGATAATAAGCGTTAGCTAATGTTAGCTAACTAATGGTGTAACGAGCCAAAATCTGTCTTGCCCTGTTTTACTAGATTCTTCTTTTCGTCTTTCTGTCGAGCCTTGACATTCAGCCTGTGTTCATCTAGGGCTTGCTATTTGTGAAATGGTGTCACTCACATTTAAAAGAGCATTTTTAACAACCTTAAAAGGCCAGTGTGTAGGATCGTTGCATATCGCTTAACCCTCTTCCTCCAAGCACAACTACAGTGACCACGAAATGCACATAAAATGCCAACAGCCCTATCTAGAGCAAGAGTTTGGTTTGTTCGGGGGTTCCGGTAGAAACATGGCGGTTCAACATGGCGGCCTCCTCCATCTGTGGCGTCAGTTCTTATTTTCTGGTTATTGTTCACTAATGAAAACCTACCTATGAATATTATATTCATTTCTGCCAATAGATCCTCCTAAATGTAACACACTGGACCTTTAAGTCGATGTTTTTGCTTAGTCATGTGTTTTAAGCACCTCACTGTATATTTCTCTGTGACCTTGCGTGAAAATGCATAGTTGCACACTATACCTGTGAGCTGCTGTCACTGTGTGGCTGTCTTACTTGGGGACTAACTATTTATAATGGTTCCATTTAAAAGTTTAAAATTGAAGAATGTTGATATGTCAATTAACCAAAGCACTTTGTATTAAGCATTAATATCATAGAAAAGATAGACTTGAAGAATAAGACTGAGAATGATACTCTAGACTGCAACATGTTCTAAATCCAAACACTTTTGCAGAAATCGTGGTCCCTGTGTCACTACGTAAAGATGTTTGAGTATCTTCAGTTTGTGGTTGTGGACAGCAGCATCAAGCGAAACATGAGTTTTGCCAATTTGATCAATTACGAAGGTTAACGAGAACAAAACGCTGCAAAAAGAATGTGATGTAGAGCAGCTGTCAATGTGTGCCCACCCTTGTTAATGGTCCTTGTTAACACCCCTCATTATGAGCACACTCCGTTCTAATGAGCCATAATAGCACCTCCTGATAATCAACCTGATAGGTGGCCCCTTTAGACTCTCTACCCTTTGATTGACTTGCTGGACGGCAGTGTGGAGACACTGATAGGATATCAAGGGGGAGGTGGGAGGGGCAAGCTGGCTGTTGGCCAGTGATAGGGCCCAGAGGAACGAAACTTAACCGCGCACTAACACCACGTAGATGAAAGGGCAGTGACGTAAGTTGAGTGTTTGGGTGTTTGTCCCTGGCATGTTCAAGCATGGAGCATCAAATTTTGAGAAAGTACCAAAATTGATGTAGAGCGCTTTAGGATGAACTGCATGCATGATGTTTTTTCCCCAGAGATTTTGTAAATATTTCCTGCAGGCTGACTGAAGACATTTTGACCTTTCTCTATTTCTGTGTGTTTGTAACCTTGAGACTGACTGGGTCCAAGATGCTGTCATGGGCGTGTTGAGTGTCGAGAGATGAATGATTGGACAAAGCAGCTTTGTGTGTCTGTGTGGGTGTCAGTAATGCACAACTCAACACACACATATTCTCTTTGTTGCCAACAGAGGTCAATACCTCTTTCTCATTGGGGGATCTTGTCAAACTAGTAGCATGAACGATGGCTGCATTTCATTTAGTTGCTGTAGCCTCTTTTTCACAGCAGACGTTTCACTTGTCATGTACTAAAAGCACAGGTGCCAAAATTTTACTTTGATTAAAGTCTATTTTGATTTGACTTGACAACTTGCACAAAAGCTTGTGTTTGAAAAAGCTGATTAAATGTATGAGTTCCTTTTGCAATCACAACTTTTTTTCAAGTTAAGAAAATGTTTTCTTTGTGATAGAATGGGTGTCACTGAGGTTTGTTGATTTCAGCACCCTGTTTCATCATCCCAGGCACGCCAGTACAGGAGTCTTTCTTAGCTCTCACATTAATGTGGCAAAAATTAGCTCTTTCATCTATGAGCCTGGTTAGCCATACACAACCTGTATGTTTATGTCACTGATTAGAGGCTATGGGATACTTTAAAGAAACCCTTACAGTAGTAGAAGTAATAATATCAATCAAATGTTAGAAAAATGTATCAACAGAATTATTCAGTGAAATCAGACAGCTCTATCATTTCCCTATCTTCCACTGGTTGGTGTCTCGGTCGACTTTGGCATTGTCTTGCCAGTGGGTTTCTTATGTGGTATATGCTTTCTGATGCTCCATGTTCATCCTCAACTCAAGCAGATACTGGAAAACACTAAATCCAACATAGTACAGACAAATCTTTTTAATGTGTCTACGTTTTTTGTGTGAAACAAGCAAGCAAGCAAGCAAGAAGGGGCTCATGGGATTTAGGAGAGGTTTGTGCCTGCATTGGCGCAACTGTCAAATAATGCCAGAAAATTAACACAGTGAATATCGCACATTCCCCAGACCTGCTTTTTCACCAGAAAAACACCAGAGTGGTATCAAAATTGCACAGAGCCACTGATATGCATATCACACCCAGCTGACCCACATAATCCGACGCTGGAGAGCTCAGTTTATACCATAAAAATCCCAAACTGGTGGAAACACTTTAACACTCAGTTAATGACAAATTAAAATTTCAAGGCGTAGTCTACTGAGAATGTGTCTATTTTTTATTGATACTAGTTGAGAGTGTACCTTTCCCCTCATTATATAGAGGGTATTAATAATAATGGAGGTAAAGGAAATAAAGTGGTCTTGAAGTTCTAACTTGTGGTTTGTTCTTCACAAGTGTGCGACTAAAACAAAAATGTAATTACAAGCGAAGATACTGGAATAACCACTTTTGTTTTTCCAATTGGCAAGCAGTAAAAGATTCTAAATATTCAACTTTATATGGTTGGTTTTATGTTGTTAACTATTCAGCTTTAACATAAGAAAGGAAAATGTATATTAAATAACTTTTCCAAAGAGGTATATTATTTTTCAAATTATGCTCAAGTTGTTAAAGGTTAAACTTCAAAAGTCAGTGCCTGTTCAGCCTGATAGCATCAACGTTTGTGCTCCTGCACTTTTTTGACAATCCTAAATGGTGGCAGTATGGCGAGTTTGGTATACTGTATGTGCAGTTTGGTGCGTGTGCTTGAGAAGAATTTAATCCTTTTAAAATTAGAGAGGAAAAAAACGATCAAATGATAAAAAATATCTTTCCCCATCTCTTTTTCCCCTGGGGCGCTGCCTCCCCTGCTTTCATCCGGTAGCCTGGAGGGAGCGAGAGGGGACAGACAGGGTGGAGAGAGAAAAAGGAGAAGAGTAAGAAAGTAAACAAAAGGAAGTAAAAAAAAATACAGAGAAAAATAGAGACAAACAAAACATAACGTAAGGACAATCGTGAGTCAACAAAGACTGTAAAATGAAAAAAGGACTGAGAATGGGACAGATGTCCTCCAGTCATCACCTCCCATTTGTCTTCATGAATGACCGACAGTAACTCTGTTAGGGTTAAAGGAGCGGTAGGAGAGCAATGCTCTCTCTCTCTCTCTCTGTCTCTCTCTCTCTCTCTGTCTCTCTCTCTCTTCACCCCTGTCACGTTTCCTCTCATCTCCACTGTGCCCCTATATAACCTCTGTCACAGAGCCTCTCCCTATCATATTTAAATGGGGTGCATAGAAAACAACAAGTGTCTGCATGTCAGTGTGACACAGAGTTACAGATAGTTGAGCTTGCAGCAGATTTTAGTTAGTTTTGTAATATTTTCTCTTTTCTAATCTCTTTGAGCAGCCTAACCACCTGTGGTAACTGGAAAAGCAAAACACTGAGACTTTTGATTTGAAGTCATACAGGATTGGCAATCAGCAGCCAGGAGAACATGACGAACCAATCAGTCTTTGTCCTAAGAATGGCTTTGCTGCTGCTGCTGGTGTACAGTACAGGTAAGATCTGTTGACATTAAGTTTTTAGCAAGAAAAACGATGTTGTGATACTGCATGGCTAAAATGTGTTTTTGTCCAAAAAAGGGAAAATCACAGTTTCAGTTAGATTCTACCCGTTAAAACCGTTAGAAAAAGATAAAATCAACAATTGTATAAACAGTTGACATGTTTCTGCAGGTGGAAATGCTGATGAGTTTTTCCTTTAAAAGCTCAAGGTGGTCATGGTTATTGCTTAGGGCCATACATATACAGTAGCATAATACACCAACAAAATAATTAGAGATGTAAATGTCAAATTAAACATGTTGTTCATGTTTTTACTTCATATGATCTTCTACTTAAAACCACGTCTGTGTTTTTTGCACCATGACCTACTTTGTTATCAGTTTTATGTGGACAGATAAACTCACAGTGTTGGATACATGCATTACAGTCCTTTTTTATGTTTAAAAATTTTTATGTTTTAAAAATAATTACTGCCTCATGACTCTAAAAGTGGAAGTTGTGATGTAGTTGTTAAATCTGTTTTGCCATCAACTTAATTAGCAGAGACTACTGTTGTAGACCAATGACTCTTCAATAAGTGTTTGACCAACATGTGTATTAGTAAACGCCTTTTGTTAAAAGTAGAAACAAATACAAAAGAATAACAAAATTATTCCCCTCTTTTCCTCTAGATGCAAAAATAGACATCATTACCACTAAGCTGGATTTTATAGTGGGAGAAGAGATCGTTATGTTGTGTAAAGGTGAGTCATTGCAATCTCATTTGACAACTAATGAAACATCTATTTGAATGAATTTTTTTTCTTCTACAAAATAAGATCCTCACTCTGTCTCCTCCTCCTTTCATTGTCCTCTCCGGTCCTAGCTGGGGCAGATGCAGAGATAAAGTGGCTGAAGGACGGGGAAGAAATCGATGATGAGGAGAACGTGTCAAAGGTGGACGAAACCTCCTCTAAATTGTTAATTCAGAAGGCTACGATGGAGGACGCGGGCAAGTATACCTGTGACTGTGAATACGACAACGGACACAGAGACAACGCTCAGATACAGCTGTTTGTTTATGGTATGTAACAACTGGCTGCACACACATACTTGAATGATCAGTTCAACGGATCTTTAGTTTAGGTTGAAAACATTCAACATATGAGGTGTTTGATTAACCAATACCCCATTTATTTCAATGATGATATAACTCATTTTGTTTCATTACATGCAAAATAAGCATCTCTGTTTTGTCAGAGGGTCCATCATTTGGCCACACCACCACCTACCATGAGTTTCTGGAGGGCACAGACGGTGTGGTGCCATGTTTGGTTACCGGTCGGCCAGCGGTAGATGTTAAGTGGCTCAGAGACAGGGACGAAATCTCTTCTAATGGTAGGGTCACCTCCCTGGGCGAGTTTTTGATTGTTAGATTGTCAGCATTACCATTAGGTCACCTTTACAGTAAAAGTAAAATAGATGAATGTTATTTTTACATCCTACAGAAATATGCTTTAGGTTTGTGTTCTGGACTTTCATCCAGAAACATAACTTTGTCTTTTTTTGTGTCTGTCTCTGCCTTTCCATTACTCTTTGTGCGTCTCACTGTCTGTCTCTACATTTGTTTCTCACTTCAGAAGGAAGGCGTGTCCGTCAGCTGCCTGATAACACACTCCGTATTGAAAAAGTGAGGAGGGAGGATGCTGGGACATACGTGTGTCATGCCCAGATCAGAGGAAGATCCATCTTGCAGGAACTCTCTGTCTCAGTTGTCGTCAATGGTCAGAATCATTTCCACATTAAGATTAAATAATGGCCAGGGGTTTGAAAGATCATTTAAGGCACAAAGATCCTTTCTGGCTTCTTGCAAAACTTGATGTGTGTGACTAACACTGAGTGTAATAGTCAGGGATGCTCTAGGCACTTTGCTTGACAAACACATTTTGTATTTTAATTTAAGTCTAATGTTGCCATATTAAATTTAAAGTATAAATTATGCATCATTTGGAGTAAAAACACAATTCCCTCCTGCAGCTCCTCCTACTGTGCGTCTGAGAGAAGAGGTGAAAAAAGTGCTGGCCGGACCAGAAACCAATGTTTCCTTGCTGTGTTTGGTGGACGGTCTACCAAAACCCAACATCACCTGGACCGTGTAAGTCTTGACTTGTGAAGAGCTGGTTTAATCTTTTTAGTATCTTAATAAATTTTGCTCAGAAGGCCACATTATGCATCAGTATGTTGTTAATGTTCAAGTATAATATGGAATCAGTTTAGCTGATCTGGACCTGTTGAACCTGTTACACCACAACATCACAACTAGTCTAATGACATTTATTTTTTTTCAGTTAGCTTTTGCATTACAGTTAATTACCTTCCTTCATTCTGGTTAACTTTTTTTTTAAAACTTTAAACTTTAACTAAATTCTATCATCAGCAACAAAACTGGGCTATTTTGTGTTCATGTTTAGATGTTTAGACAGACACTAAGTGCCCCTGACTCTCAGTATAAACTAGGTAATGTAGCGTAGCATCTTCTCTATGTGGTAGTGGGTGGACACAAGTGTGTGTGTGTGCGCAAAGCTGTAGTAAACATTTCTTCATCAGCTTTATTAATGTTCTATGACCTCTATCTCTCTCCTATCTTCATTAAGTTGTGTCTGCAAATATCTGGACAACTCTTTTTTTCGAATCCAAGCGGATAAAAAACAAATCCCTGCAATACTTAGTGTTTATGTTTCCCTGCATTTCCTACTCCCAGGCCAACAACGATAGACCCTTCGCATCATGTGTTTAACTCAGACCGCAGCGAGCTGACGATAAGGTCTGTCGCCAGGGCCGACTATGGAGAGTACGTCTGCACCGCCACCAACAAGATAGCTGAGAGCAGTGCTACCATTATGCTTCATGTTTTTGGTTAGTTCAGTTCTATATTCTCTTTTCTGTTAACACCGTCAGCACCACCATTATCAGCACATGACAAAAATTAACCTGCTTTTCAGACATGATGACATGTCACTTTATCCTGTTGTACTATACTGACACCAGGACATGTGCTGCTCAGCATTTCCTTTATTGTTCATATTGCTATAATTGAGATGTTTTATTTCAGAGGCCCCAGAGGTGTTTGTGTCAGCAGAACAGCAGAGTTTATCAGTGGGCGAACGTGTGTCTGTGTCCTGTAACGTCACTGGCCATCCCCAGCCTGAGCTACACTGGCTCAACAAGCACAATGGACAGGCAGTGGTAAGAGGATATGGACACACACATATGCAACAGCTGCACATAATAAAACTGGCACTGTAAATTCAAAACACAGCTAGCTATTCCAACAACATTAAGTTTTATCCATTAACAGACTTATGTTTGGTCTGTGTGTGATTAAATATTCCCATTTTCCCATTCCCTCTGTCAGGAGTCCTCTGGTCGTGTCCATGTTGTTGATGGTGAGTTGGTGATTGAAGATGTGGTGCCCTCTGATGGTGGACTGTATTCCTGCATGGCGGTCAGCACCTCTGGAAATGCATCAAGGGATGTTGCAATACACAGTAAGAGGTTATGTCTTTCTTTGTGTTTAAGAAGAAAGTGAGGTGAAGTAAAAGAAGATTTCATCTTTAATGATGCATCTGACATACAATATTTGTTTTTCCTGATTTCATTCTCTCTTCCCTCCTTTAACCTGCCTCCTTCAACGTGACCCACAGCTCAGCCCAGTCCCCCTATCTACCTATCAGTCTCACCTGGGCCAACCTCAGTCCTCTTCTCCCTCAAAACCCTGCCCATCAGTGGAGGAACACCAATAACGAGTTTTGTCCTGCAGTGGAGGCAAAGTGCAGCAGAACAATGGAAGGAGATCACAGTCCCAGCTTCAGGTAAAACTTCTGCTCTTCAAAGAGGCTGTGTGGTTCATTTATACTTTAAACTGCTTATACCATAAACTTAATCTTGACATAGATACCTAAATAACATTGAATTATGCACATTAGCTGATGTTGTATCTGTGTGTGTCTGCTTTTGTAGAGCCTCTGGCCATCACCTCCCTCAAGCCATACACATTGTACTCTGTACGTTTGGCTGCCTTGAATGCAGTGGGAGTGGGACAGTTCTCAGACACAAACACCGTCCGCACCCAGGGAAAACGTAAGCGCTACACACACTAACAAACAATACACACCAACTCCATATTTCATACTATGTGTGCAGCATTAACTGGATTTGCAGCTTGTGTGTGTGTATGTGTGTGTGTGTGTGTACATATTTGCATGTTTACATTTAAATGAACATATAATATTTATTTATGGACATTGTACAGTGCGTGTAAGTGCAAGTATTCATGCATACTATTGTGTATATGTCTGGCAAGCATAGTCTGTTTTTTTTCCTTCTCATCTGCCATCGCTTATTTTTATTTTTCATCTTTCATTCAATTATCATCCTAACATCATCATCGGCTGCCTGATGACACCGTGTAATCCACTGTCATCCCTTCTCAGATGGTAAAGAACAGCATAGTGATCTACTAAGCAATTAAACAATGAACTAACATTCTGTCTGTATAAATAAATATATCTAAATCAAAACACGAGGTGTTAATTATTATTCATGACTTCATTAAATGTGAATGCATGGTCTTTAGTCGTTTCCTTTCTCTCTGCTTCCCGTCTGTAGGTGAACCAGATAGTCCAGTTATCTCATCTGATCAGATGAAAGTAGAGAGAAACTCGTTCTCTGTCCCACTTAAACAGATTGATGATGGTGGAAATCCACTGCAGCACTTCAAAATACGATACAGACAGGTAAGAGCCAGTATGAATCTGTCTCTGCGTGTGCATTACTCTTCTTTGGTCCTTTTGTTTCCTTACTGCCATCCTCAAGTCCTCTCATATCCTCTCTCTTTTTGTTCTACCAGGATAAAGAGGGGGCTGACTGGAAAGATATGCAGTTGCCGCCCAATGCTGACTCTATCTCCCTTAAAGACCTGTCTTTCAGCTCAAACTATGAACTGGAAGTCACATCCGTCAATACTAATGGTTCCTCTTTCCCTGCCACATTCAACTTCACCATCGCAGAACAGCCCGGTATGTGGCCGCCAACTCCCTACCCACAGAAAATGTGGTTTAAACAGTAAACTCGGAGTGCTAACAAAAATGTGTTGCTCACAACAATTAAGGTGTTTGCCGCACTTTTGCTTAGTCATCTTGACTCTCTCATCTCTCCCTCTGAAGCGAGCAGCATGACCAAAGGCACCGTGGTTGGCATCGTCATGGTGATCTTCCTGGTGGCATTCCTGGTGGTAGACGCCACATGTTGCTACAGAAATCACTGCGGCCTGCTCATGACCATTGCTGTGAAACTCTTTGGACAGAAAGTCCCAGGCCTCAAAATGATTGAAGACGGAGAGGGAGCCACTAATGGGTAAGTAGGTGTTGGAAAAGAGAGTGTGTGCATATTCATGTGTCATGTAAATTTTCACAAAATTTTCACACTTCACACATTAAATTCATCATATTTTGAACCTTTGTGTGTGTGCAGGGAAGTGAAGCTGAAGGGTATATCCACTCCGAGAGGCAGCATACAACAGGCGGGAGTTCAGACGCTCACTAAGGAGGGGCAGCTCACAGAGGTCACCTGCGACAAAGCCTCCCTTACAAGACACGAGTATGTTCATTCACTTCCATATACAGCAAAGCTACAAAAAGCTACAAAAATGTGCAATGGAACAGAAAAAGCTATTGAAGACTTTAATGTTGAAATCAAAGACTACATTTAATTATGATCAAAATCACCATGAACATATGTTTGCAAGACAGTCTCTCTCTGTGGCAACGATGCCACTTTGTGCTGTTTTTTTTTATTTTATGCAATGATATGTTTTTATTCCGGTATCTCATTAATAAATTGTTTCTTTCCCACAGGAATATACAGCCAGATATAAACCTTCCCACTGCCATTGTATGAGGCCAGACACTGGAGAAATAACATATGACAAGTGCGATGTAGACGTTTAAACAACAAGAGAAGATACCAAACAATCAACTCTCAGAACAGTTGCACTACACTGGACAACTGGGAAAGGTCAAACATTACTGACAGACCGAAAAACACAGATGTCACTGAGGTTTGTTCAAACTGGGCTGTTTGAGACCTCTGTGCTGTTGGAGCGAGAGGACAGCGGGCCTGTGTTCAGCCTCTCCTGACTGACATGAAGACTGACAGAGGCTACAGGCAACAGATTATATCATTCTATAGTCTTTGGGTCTTTTTGTTGTTCTGTCTTCTCTGATTTAGATGAGTTCAAAGATAGGAAAGAAAACAAATCTCTTTCACAGGGTAATCTTGATGTCCGTGTTTTACAGGGTAAAATTGTTGGTGTTATACATAAATCTTAAAATTGCTTCATTTTCACAACAAATGTTTACCAACTGCATTTTGAATGTTGTACACAGACACAAGGTCTTATTTTATTATTTTATTTTATAGACTGAATCATAACATGGGTATTCTCTGTACTACAGCATTGTTTGGCATTTCAATATTTAAATATTTGCATCTGTTAATGTTTTTCATATATCTTTTTAGTGCAATTAACTTTTTATTAACATTATACTGTGGCTGATCTTCTGATATGTAAGGCAAAGTTTAAATTACATTGTATTCTGATATTGTATTTTGAACCATTTAAAGACATTTCAGCTTAAAGTAAACCTAACTAACCTTAATGTAATTATTAGGCACTGATATTTATTGTTTTTAAACCACACGTGAGAGATAGTCATCATAAGAGGCTTTCAACTTGAAGCCATTTTTTACTTTGTAGCCAGCTTTACTGATAAGCACTTTTTTGTAAGAATATTTTATATGGCCGGCAACTAACACTGGCCACATAGGGGACCTGTAATTAAAATTGTATTATGAGAACCTCTTTTAAAGTACATGTAATAATAGGCGACATGTATATTCACCTAACAAAACTGACTAATGTGGTAAGTTATTTAGTATTTATAGTCATATTATTAGTTACAGTAATCAAATATGTTTATATGCACTCTGTTGCAGCTTTAAGTATGCCATGTTTGCAAATTACCCGGCCATATTAATGAAGTGTTTTGATATTGTTGTTAAATTGTACTCAACACTGTACATTGTTTGTACATATACATGTTGTTACATCTTTGTGTTTGATAAAAAAAACATGGACTGTACAACAGTTTTTTTGTATTTTATGCTCACCAAATGAATGTTTTAGCAGCATTTTCATAAGCCACGTTTTGCTCCTTTTAAAAAGACTGAAGTTATCCTGCAGGTGACTAAAAACAACAGAAGCAAATGCTTTATCATCATGTCAAAAAGTTTGCTGAGGCTGTCCACAAACTGTTTTGTAGGCCAGATCACAAACCTTCAAACCAGTTTTATGTTAAATCTAAGGCAAGCTTTTGTAATGTGCCCTTTTTTTTGCTGTCGCTGCTGAAATTCAGATATTACTATGCTTTCATTTATTATTTCCTCTCTTTCCAAGAATTAGGCATACCTTTTAGTCGTCTATTATGCAGTTATTTTAGCAATGTTACTGCAGAGGTTAATTCAGGTTTCCTTTTCTTCCCCACCAGTCCTCTCATCTCAACTGTTCTTGTGTCCCTATAACGTCTGACACTCTCCCTATCATAGTTATGTAGGTGGACAGGTACCAACAGGTGTCTGCATGTGCATGTGAGATACTGACTTAGAGATATTTAAGTGTTCTTCTTATGTAGCAGATGTGACATGGATTTGTAAACTTTATTAGATTAACTTTCGAGCATTCTGTCAGTTGTACTGAGTAGTAACAAACAAGTTACAAGTCTTGCAGGACCGATAACCTGCAAAAAAACCACAAAGCAGAAAACAAAACTACAATAACTTCTACTGAAAAAACTAGATACCTACTATCACAAGGATCATCACTGATTGGACTGACGCACTTTTTAACAGGAAGGTAAGGTGTGCATCTCAAGTCCCTTAATTACATCTACGTTTTCCCCTTTTACTTGCATTGGGATGGATGGAGAGTCTCATAGACAGGACAGAAGAATTAAGGAAATGTTTTAAAAGAAATGAGACAGACCAAAACACTTGCTCTACATAGGGCCATTTTGCGGCCAACATAGTTTCTCCTACACACTTAGAACAGTAATCCTACTTTGAAATTAGTAAAGCAATGGAGTCAGTCTCTTCATCAGTGAACACACTGAACATGTTTCATTTATAGTAACATAACTTTATTTCTAAATAAGACAACAAGAAAAGTGCTGATTTATATCTGTACAACATAAATCATTTAAGTAAAAAAACACTTTGCATGTAAATCGATTATAATAGTTTTATTTCTTACATTCTGCTGTATTTGTGTGTGTACACAGTGAAACAATGTTGTCTACAACCTGGACCTGTTTTATAATAATATGTTGAGTGATTTTCACTCAAGATTTGTATATTTTTATAGGTGTCTATGTCAGATTTATGTATGTGTAACATATTTGTACATTTTGATCCACTTTTGGCCAAGAGGGCCAACAGCAGGTTTGATCACAGATAAACTGATTCATTACAGATACACAAACTCTACCGTTAATGGCTTTCTCCTGCGGTGCCCCCTCCTCCCATTACTCCCAAACAATCAAATGCTCTACCAGCCAATGTTCTGCCCTCCACCTATAGTCTGATTCCCCTGGCCATTGACAAAAAGAGGCGGCAGAATGGTTTGCAATAACTTTAGAGATTTAGGTTGAAACGTCTCAAGCTGCTGTATCCTTTATACCAGGTTTGTTTATTTACAACTACCTCCTCGCCAAGAGATGCACCGAGCATCCTCCTCTCCCTACTCAGTCACCTGAATTATTATTATTATTATTATTATCATTATTATTATTATATATCTCTTCCCCTCAGGGCCACCATCATTTTAAGCCTGCTAATCACTAATCCCTCTGCTGCATTTTTAAAATTTGCAGGGAGGGAGGGAGGTAGCAGGATTTAGGGGATCAGTTACACTTTACACAACAGCTAAAGCCAATTTCCACTATCTATTTGGTACTAACTAACATCAGCTGTGTGTGATCCTGTACAGTCTATCTGGTCTGCAGTGAGAAAGTTTCTCTGACAGGAGGAGACTCTTTTTCCGACAGAGAACACAGAGACACTGAGGAATCAGACCAGAACCTGAACCCAGGATAAAGAGGTTAACGTGATGTGGTGTTGAAGGTGTGGAGGTGGATCAGTGTGTCAGAGGAGACTGTGTAGAAGGACAGAGTGCCAGCAGGACAGTCCACATACACTGCTACTCCTACCAAGAGGAGGAGGAGGAGGAGATGATGTTTCTTATGTTATTGTGCCAGACATAGTAAACCATATCAAGAGCGATAACTCCAGGACTGATCATTCCTTCCAAACAAACAGTCGTATCCGTTTCCTCTCCTGCTGATTCCTCTGTAAGTCACTGCTATATGAACTCTTCCTCTCCACTCGACCTCCCAGTAACAGCGACCAGTCAGAACATTTCTACACAGCAGCTGAGGCCAGTAGTCAAATCTGTCTGGATGATCAGGATATGACTGATCCTCCTCCACATATGTCATCTTCCTGTTGTTGTCAGACAGTTTGATCTTTCTGTTCACTGTGTCAGTCTCGAAGGTCAGCTCACAGGAATCTGATAGAGAATCACAATACAGCTGCAGTTATTGATCTATCATCTGATCATTTATCGACATTGATGATGGCCCATGGCATAATTCATCTGAATGAGTGATGTCACAGTGTGAAGATGGTGGATGTGTGCTGCTTTGTCTGAATCAAATTAAAAACCCTTACATTTCCTCAGACCTGGTCTCAGCCATTGGACTCCGCCAGGCTCCACCCTGAAGGTAGGAGAGGGATCAGACCAGCACATCTTCTTTCAGCATGGAAACATTACATTGCTCTCCTACACAGATATTTGTTTTTCTCTACAAATATATTTATATGCTCATAAGTAGCACTTATAATTAATTAGCTGATATTATTTCATCAATGACTACAATGCGTTATTTTCAGAAGTATTTATCAGAAAATAAGATCTCAGAAT